CTTTCTCTCTACCATCACCTTCTCTTCCTCTTCACCCAGGCCGGCAACCCCGACGATACACAGACTACACACGTCCCCCGGTGATCACAAGTTCAGACCAACCTGCACCACAGTAGTCCAGCGCAAAGTTCTACAACCGACGCACGGATCACCGACCGCCTGAATCTGACCTCGAGTGCTCCATCACGGTTTCAGACCCGCGGGCACACCCAGAATTTCCTCACTGCAGTACGTGGTATAGAAAATGGTTGTTTTAGAAATGATTTGATTTTTTTTTATTTGTTTTAAATAAGCTTGTTTTAAATTTGATATATATATATTTTAAAATAAATTTGTTTAAATATGATTTGGTATATTTTAAAATAGATTTGTTTAAATATGATTTGATTATTTTTTAAAATAAGAAATATGATTTGATTATTTTTAAAATAAGAAATATGATTTGATTATTTTTAAAATAAATTTGTTTTAAATATGATTTGATTATTGTTAAAATAAGTTTGTTTTAAATATAATTTTTTTTAAATTTTAAAAACAAGTTTGTTTTAAATGTTTTTTTTTGTTTTAAGTAAGTTTGTTAGAGGAATTTCAAATTTAAAATAAAATAAATTTTTTATTAGTATTATTATTATTATTATTATTATTATTATTATTATTATTTCTCGTTTTAGTTTTATTTTTTTTAACATTTTTTTTAAATAAAGATTTGTATGATAAGAATTAATATTAAGTTGTATCATATGGTGTTTGCATAGTGGTAGGTTACTTAGGAATAATTCACACGTCTTAGGTTTGAGTCTTTGCTTGCCTAAATTAATATTTTTTTTAATATCATTATTTTACCAAACAACTATTTTAGATAAAATGTTTTTTTTTAATTTAAAAAAAAAAACTTTCGTTTTTATAAGATTTCAAATCTTAAAAGATTTATATAAATTTTAAGTAATATCTTAGGATGTTGGCACATTGGTAAGAAATTTGTATATGGACACTCACATCACAAACTCAAGTCTTGATGGCCCGTACGCTAAAATTATTTTTATTTCTTAATTTTTCTTTTCTACTAAATAATTATTTCGAAAATCTCAATGACAGAAATTGGATCTTTCTAATATTCTCGAGGTGATAATTTGTTTTTCTAATGGTCTTTGCGCCACTCATGCTTGTTGATAAAATATGAATCAATAAATTTGGGACATTTAAAAATCAAACATAAAAATATTTTTCTTTTTGGACCAAAGTATAATAGGATAATTGTTGACAAAATATGGTACCGTTTTCGAACGGGTGTCGTAGGGTGCTAACACCTTCCCTACACTCAGTCGACTCCCGAACCAAAATCTGTTTTTCGTAGACCAAGTTTTTAAAATAGGTGACCAATCACACCTCGTATATGATTGGTGGCGACTCCAAACCCGAATCTCAAAAGAGACCCGTCAGGGGATGACGTCGGCCGCTCCGCGTCGCGATGACGTTGCGACAGTCCATAATAAACACTACTAGATATAATAAAAACTCATGAGACACGCCAAACACTTCATACGAATTCAGACAACGTACATTTCCAAAATAAATTTCACTTTAACGAACATTCACTACAATCATACGTCATTCTACCATAGATCTCAGC